CGCGAGCGCATGGTGGAGTGGGGCGCGCGCGACTGGCGCCAGCTGCTCTACACGTTCGGCGGCTCGCTGCTCATCGACATCGGCTGTCTGGTGACCGGTGCGTACGGACCGACCGGCTCCTTCTGCTACTTCGACCCGGTGGCCGGCGTGGTGCCGCACCTGGTCTTCTCCGTGGCGCCCCTGGTGATCCTGTTCTCGATGAACGTGCTGCTGTACGTGCTCACGTTCCGTAAGATCCGGCTGGAGGAGCGCCGGACGCGTGCCGTGCTCGGCGCTACGTGCAAGCCCCAGGAGGCGGCGCCGCAGGCAGCGCGAACCGGCATGCTGTTCGTGTCGGCGTTCTTCATCCAGTGGTGGACGTCGGTGCTCTGGGGCCTGTGGCAGCTGTTCGAGCCGCCGCCGGTCCTCCTGCACCACCTGACCACCACCTTCTGCAACCTGGGCGGCGCGCTCAACTTCGGCGTGTTCTACATCCTGCGCCGGCGGCGTCGGCGGCGCCATCCGGCCGACTCGCTCCGTCAGCAGCGCAGCGAGGACCGCGGCGACAGCACAGCCGCCGCTGTGGCCGGCTGCCGGCCCAACTGGCTGAGAATCTGCAGCCACCAGCAGGGCGTCCTCTGCGGCGGAAAACCGGTGATCTCTGGCGAGCCGCTGCCTCCCCGCCGGGCGACAGACGCTCCAGACGGCGCCAGACCAGCCGAGGGTCAGGTGGAGACTCCCGCACAGCCAGCGAGCGCCACCCCGATGTCAGACACAACCCCACTGTCAGGTTCAGCCTCCTTGTCAGCCTCAACTCCTCTTTCAGACACGGCCTTTCAGCCAACCACAGCCCCTATTCCTGCCGGAAACTCGCAATCTACCAACGCTCCTCGTAAGAGTAAAACCTTCTTGTCCAAAAAATCGCCTACTTCCTCGGCAGCCCGGTCGCCCTCCATCTCTCCTCCCCGACACACGTCGCCGCTGTTTGACGCCGCATCGAGACCGTCGACCACGCCGCTGTCCCCTGCAGAACTGCTGCTAGTGGCCCGCCGGCCGGACGCCTCCCGAAAGGTGTCGGTCGTCTCCCCGCGCTACGGCGGCCGGAAGGCACCGCCACCCGAGACTACGCCCCACAGTGAGGACGGGCCGAGCCCCGTCTGTGAGCGGGGCTGCGCTGGGGGCAGGCCGCACCGCCACACCCCGCCACAGGTGATTATCAGCTCAGAGTGGGCCGGCGGCGATCAGGGCCGGGCACTAGGCAGGATCTGAGGCTACTTAACAACTTCACCTAGCTTTGTTAAGCTTGAGGAGTAAGCAAAGTTGGGACAGGGCACAACACAGGATCTGAGGTTACCAAAGCAGGTTGTAATACTCTTTGTGAGGCTACCAGAGTGGGGCATATAATACGATCTCTGAGGTAGGATATTACATCGCAAGACCTGAGGCTACCGGTACAGGATATTCCACAGGACCTGAGACCACCAGAGCAGGACATTACACGGGGCCTGAGACCATCAGAACAGCGCATAACACAAGACAGCAGGCAGGGGAAGGGCATTGCAAAAGACCTAAAGGCTACCGGTGCAAGATATTACACTGGACCTGAGACCACCAGAGTAGGACATTGCACAGGACCTGAGACCATCAGACCAGCGCATAACACAAGACAGCAGGCAGGGGAAGGGCATTGCAAAAGATATAAGGCTACCGGTGCAAGATATTACACTGGACCTGAGACCACCAGAGCAGGGCATTATACAGTGCAGCTCGTGTTACGTCCGCAATGTGTTCTGTAACATGCATAACTAAATTACACAGGAGCTGAGGGGACCAGACCAGCGCATCTAGTAGGACCCCGGACATTTATCGGGATTGAAGAATGAACCGATCCAATGATATTCATAAAGAAGAGATTTTGGAGCTTGAATGGGTTTGTAGCATGGCACTTCTTGTCAAAGCTTGGCCTAAGTTTTTTTGTGTAAATTTGTTCGTTTATGGGGTATGAATCATTATCTGGTTTCTTAATCTTGTTAGAATAACATGTGTGGCAGACGGAGTTAATTAGGTCTATATTTGACACCGAGCACATGTGTAATGTGTGTGCACGTACGAGATAATATCTATGGATCTTATCTCGGCAGATGTTGTGTCCCTCTCACACGACTGACTGCGTCAGATAAACGTTCAACAGTGCAATAGTTTTCAGAGCTTTTATTGTGTAAAAACCGTGAGCATTGTTCGTGGTGCGCCCAAAAGTTCAAGTGTTTTTATTTGTCATCATAGCAAAGTTTCTTAACACAATATGTCTTACATGAATGTAAGCAATGCCTGCTTTACCACAACTGGACGTTAGTTGCATTACCACAAATAACGTCAGGACACGATTTAACCCGCGCCCTGGTGGGGTCTGTTTATAACGCGACCTGGTGGGGGGGGGGCTATTTTTTGCCCCCCCCCCCTCGTATCTCCGAAACTACTAGACGGATCCGCGCCGCAGAACTCAGTATTTCATATATCTACCACTAGATGTCTCTGACGCTATGCGCCTGACTCATGCTGTGCCGCACTGCTCAGTATTTCATATCCTTCCCGCTAGATGTCTCTGCCATCATGCGCCTGGCGCATGCTGTGCCAAAATTCAAACGGCGTTCGAAAGGCCTGTCAAATTTGTCGAAGGAAACCAAATTTCATTGACCTCGGGGTCACCGATGACGTCACAGGTCAGGTCAAAGATGAAATGTTTCACCGTTCACGGGTCTTCTAGGGAATGCGCTATAACACCGAGGAAAACGCATTTTGTCGAGAATCAGCGATAAGGCGTCAGTTGCCTAGTGGATATGTTGCTATTAGAGGTCACTGACAATACCAGGTCAGGTCACAGGTCAGGTCACCAAGGGTCACAGGTCAGGTCACATGAGCCCAACTTTACTATGGTTGTGTGATGCATGTTTTATGGCCAATTTTTCATTTCCAACTCAATGGTGTTCGTTATAAGACTATCAGGTACGGCTTAGGTCACTTTCTGGTGAAGTTCAGGTCAAGGTCAGGTCGAGGTCAGGCCAAAAAAAGGTCAAATTTTAAAGTTGATAGTTTTGCATTAAATGGGTATTGATTCGATGCAGCTCGTCACGGGGAGTCTAATTGTGGTCTTTGTTTTGCGCTACGGGATGTAGAATTGCTAAAAATTGAGTTTGAAAATTTGACGTCATCAATTTTGAACAGTTTTTTTCGCTATAACTTCGCCAAAAAAAAGAGGTATCAATCTCAAATTTGGTATGTAGATGGAAGGCGGTAAGGACTATCACATATATTCCGGTTTTTGCGAAATTAAAAAAAAAAATTGGATTTTTCGATTATTATATCCAAAAATTTATTTTTTGATTTTTGGGGGTCAAAATCCAAAAATTTCAAAAATCCGAGATTGCAGTTTTGTAGCCCTATCAATTCTACAGCTTTCATGCCTTTATCATTTTTCTGTATTTGCAAAGCTATAGGCCTGACAGCTCTTCCCGCGAAACCCTTTTTTGCGTCGAAAACGGCAGAGCATGACGTCACTGTGACGTCATTTCCGGCCAACCTATCATAGCCTTTGGAAAAAATTTTGGTCACAATGTGTAAAATTGATGTCCGGGAGGGTACTGAAAGTTTGGTGACGATCGGCGCAGCGGTTCTGGAGATATATCGAAAAGTCTGGAGGGGGGGGGGCAAAAAATAGCCCCCCCACCAGGTCGCGGGTTAAGTCCAAGAAAATCCAGCGCTGGCGAAATCATATCTGAAAGCATCATTCAATTGCAGCTGGATGGTCACCAATTATTAGTTAATACCTATACATAGACCTCTGTATGGTTAATATAATGATTAAGTGCGAAGTGTTGACTGCAAGGCTATGATGTTCGGTTCAGTGAGCGCTGCAGTTTGTGATTCTATCAGTTGTCTCAAAATCCCATGCGTCAGTCCATTTCCATGGTCTGAGCGATAAGCTCAAGACGCGCATATTCACGCAACTGTCACCCCACGTCCATACTCGTATATACATTCATCACTAATACAGCGTGTTGGCGTCCCCAGCTCGTGTTTGCCGACCCGCTCTGATCTGCTTCGTGTCTCTGTCTGCGCACTATGCGTGTCGGCCTGTCGCCGTCGCGTGCAGACAGGGGTCGTCGAACACTGCTTTACTCCCGGGAGACCCTCTGCATGTCCCGAGCCCTTCTGATGGTCCCACTCGAAGGGTTCAGTCTGCTACTGGGATCACGTGGCGTCAGAGACGGTGGTAGAAATTCCACCCCGAAAGGAGGTCAATCCGCCGCATAACTTGGATAACACACGATATGAGACTGTATGCACATAACGTATAGCTTTTATTACGCTATTATCAGTATTATGCTATTATTAGCCGTCGTGTAAAATCGGATTGGGTTTTGATGGCATAGATCAGTATTACCATAATCAATCATTATCATAATCATACTATCAGTAATAGCATCTCTTATCATAATCAAATTAGCTGCTAAGTGTTAAAACGTTGCAGTAATTATTCCGATACAATCCAAAGGCAGTCTCATAGCTTATTACCGATGGAGAACTCGGGAAGCAAATTATTATCAAAGCGATTCAAATTAAGACGGCAAGTTAATAACCATACTTCTGAGTGAATTATGACTCATTTTGGCTTAAAATCAATCACTCAAGGAATCCAACTCTAGTTATATAACCAGCCTCCGCGAGCAGGCTCGTCCAAAATCCTAACCATTTGGCAGGTCAAGTAATAAACCAAGGAAGTCTGACGCAAAGCACGGAGGTGGGTATAAAATAATTATTAGAAATAAAAAATTCGAATAACTAATGATTATAGAAGAATGATCATCTCGATTCGTTTGGGTATAATACCTGCTTACATAAAACGCATCTGAGATACATTGCGGCATACAGCTTCATGTTTTCCATTGTAATGCCTCGACATTCGCTACGGTGATTTAAATATATATTTCGTAGACATTCAAACGACAACAAAATATCACGAATGGCAGTCATCAATTGGGCGTACGGTTGTTGTGATGGCGGACGTACAGATGCTCGACAGCAAGGCCGACCACACTGGCGAGTGTCGCAGTCGCTAGGAAAACAAACGCTGAGAAGACGGACGACAGCGACAGGCCCTGTGGAGAGACAGGTAGAGCGGTGACAATAACATCACAACCAGTCACCGGTGTGTCCAACCCATCAGCCAGTCACATACACAGCACGCAATGGTCTGTGGTTTTAAAGACTGTCTTGCATTTATTTTTTTAAACAAAATACAAGATATATTCAGATGTGTTTTATGTAAATAACGACCAGAGACAAATTGCGACGCATAACCATCACGATATTTCGTTCCAGTGTTTAGGGGTCGACGAACTTTTAGATTATCTTTATTTAGCATGTCATTGCACAATGCACACGTGCGTTGGTAAATATGCACTCAAGTTGAGTGCATATCTACTCAAATGTACACTCAACTGTAAATACCTGTGAGTCGCTGCTCTTGCAGGCCTTTCTCGGCAAGCTTAGAAACCTTCCGTTCAGCTGATCCAGAATTCCCAGCTCCCGCATCCGTGCCAAGCTGTCGGAGCGGGACGAGAGACGTTCGTTACTTATACTGCGAGCATCGGGTGTTTGAGCAGCTGTTAGCTTCTGAGTGTATGTTGTCACGACTCACAAAAGAATGACTGGTCAAGAGTTTACGCGTGGGCTTGCTTGCTTTAGCAAAAACATTGATTGAGCCTTTTGCTTCATTGTAAGTACAGTATAGGCTTATTTGCATTTTCAGTTCAAAGAAAGATTATATGTGTGTGCAGCACCTGTCATGTTGCTGCGGTAGATATGTGCTCATAAGTCATTATCCAACAAGTGCTCTCACAGATTTAAGACTGGCTTTATGTCAGCCGCCAACATTTAGAGACTCACTGGTAGTCAAAGAAAGCCCGGTAAGGCGAGTGCCGCTGAAGCGCCAGCGACGCCTGCAGATCATGTAGTCATTACCGAGGTCGACCATGCTGCAGGGCTTATGGTTGGGGCCTGCAATGGTGCAACAAAGGTGACAGCTGGATGCGCGCAGCGCAACAGAAGCCGCGAAGCTGTATGATTTCACGACTTCACAAGTTAAAAAAACTAACAAAGTTCACAAGTTCTTATAAAGAAGACGCTGATTAAGATTGTTTGTTAGCATGCTTGTTGTTTGATGGAGCCACCTAGAGCTTGAGCCACGTAGGTCGACACTGCCTGACCGAGGGTGGCATGAGCAAAGACTTCGCAGTACCAACTGGCATAACACAGAACCAGCCTGGGTTTCTGGCAAAGCAGGACAGTATTTAGCTAGCAGGATGGTAAGGATGCTCACCGAAGTATGTCGAGAAGACGGCAACGTTCTCTCCCCTCAACAGCTGCTCCACGCCATTAGTTACGGACCCCAACACAACTGAATGACTTCTGTAGACTTCCTGAAGAAGAGGCACTTGAGAATCCTGAAATGGGAATGAGGTGAGCATTTCGGTGAATTCAGTATCACCTATTCAGGGATGATTCACCAAATAATACAATTGTATCTCTTGCATCCACAATAGCACACTGGGACATTGGGCCAGCCTTTGGCGCATGATTTTGCCCTTCACTCCCGGCTGAGTCGCCCATGCGTAGAACAACTAACATACCTTTGCGTTCTATATACTCTGGACATACCCTATCCCGACTCACCTTGAAGAAATCGAGCAGTGCAGATGCGTCGGGCAGCACTAGTCGGTGTGTGTTGGTTCGTACCAGCCCGTGCAGGTCCTGGAAGGGCAGCGGGTACGTTCGTACCGCCAGCGAGGACACTAGTGTTGCCGAGTAGGCGGCTGACAGCGTCACCATCGTCATGTAGAAAACCCAGAAGAAGAGCCGCGTGGCCAGCCCCGCCGGGGTGTCCTTTACACCTGTGACGTCATCAGTTCCGTCAGCTGTTCCGCCGTTGGGGCTTGACAGATGGACGTTGCTCATCAAACAAAAAGCATGTCAGAAATAGGAGCGTGAGACGTCACATCTACCCAAAGCTAGACGGTTCTCCCCAATGTGCTTTACTCGTATGGTAAGGAAATAAAGTTATGTTTTATATGGTACAGCATGGTTCAGGCGTTGAACAACAGAAACACATAACGGTAAATTTTTTGTTTGTTTTGTTTTATTGGTTTAGACCCTTTCGGTCCAATGAGACCATTGCAGAGCCGGAAGGATGATATAGGAATTAGGGGGAGGCATTGGTCTGGGCAGGAACTCTAGTGAGTCGCCGGGGCTGGACAGGCCGACCAGCCCCCCCCCCCCCCCAGCACTCTCTGCACCCAGATACGGGTGGGCTTCCTCAGAAGCTGCGGTGCGCTTCAATGGGAGCCGCTCACATGACATAAAGTTACTGTCCACTGTCCAGCCCGGATCAGGGGTTGCGGCGTAGAGGACAAGGGTTTGGTTTGAATATGCTGGAGATGGAAACGACGGAACGGGTGAACGGTTAATGTATAAATTGTTGAGTTGTAGATACGGCATTGGGTCGTCTGTTTAACCCTCGCCGGACTTAATGGTTTTCTACATATTGGCCAAGGGCGTGGGCCGATGGGGGGAGGGGGGTACGACCTCCTCTCGCCGTTTCGCCCCCGATGGATCTAGAGCGTCGCTGAAAAAATGAGCGTGTGCGCTGTTACGAGTGGCAGCGACTGGTACCCGATTTGAAGGTCTCACGTCAACTGGTGGCCTCTGAGGTCAGGTCAGGTGACCCAAGGCACGGGTTCAGTTTTTTATGAATGCTTTCGCAAATAAACGGTCGCAGAGCCGCGATTTTAGGGTCATCGGGTTCACCTTGTTCAGGCACGACGGATTATTTATTTTGTGTTCGGGTGAGGTCAACTTGAGGGGTTGACCTGGGGTCAAGTTCAGGTCAACGCCCTCCAGGTCATGAAGCTGGTCGAAGGAGATCATATCATATATCATTCGATTCGGCAGGTCTTCCTGAGTTCATTGGTGGCTTTCCCGACTCGCTAGTTCAATTTGATCGGGAGTTATTGACGAAAAATTATTATGACCCAAGTGACGTCATGAATGACGTCATGCAAGGTCAACAATGCAAAAGTGAAGCATCGGACCTTGCAGGGAGTACATGAAACCATTATTCCGTTTGCTTGAAATAGTTTGAGATCGCTCCCGGCGCTAAACTAGCAGTTTTTATTTTTCTTCGTTGACTTATAACGGAGAGGTCACGTGACCGACCTGACCTCATGTAGCCTTTAGGAAAAATCCGAGGGGTACAGGTTGTGAGACCTGAAGAGGATACTACACCCTGTAAGTTTCATCTCCCTGTGAAAGTTTCCCTGACACTGAGTGCGTTGCGAAGTTGCGACAACTGAGGAGCGTGCAGAGGTTCGCCTATGACGTCATAGGTTAGTGACCTGGCCTGGCCTGAAAACGCAGTTGGTGTCACAAGATGCGGCTTGGATCAAAGATCAGGTATGCCAAGGGCCCAAGTTTCAGCTCTCTATCGCCGGTGAGCTCGGAGCTATCGTGAGAAAAAAAACTATGGTGGCGCTGGTACCCCCTCGATCGGCGAGGGTAAAATACTGAGCCATGCGGCACAGCATGCGCCAGGCGCTTGACGCTAGAGACATCTACCGTTAAATATATGAAGTACCTTGAGTTTTACGGCACAGCATGCGTCAGGCGCATAGCGCAGAGACATCTAGCGGTAAGGATATGAAATACTGAGCTCTGCGGCACAGCATGCGCCAGGCGCATGATGGCAGAGACATCTAGCGGGAAGGATATGAAGTATTGAGCAGTGCGGCACAGCATGAGTCAGGCGCAAAGCGTCAGAGACATCTAGCGGTAGATATATGAAATACTGAGTTCTGCGGCGCAGCATGCGCCAGGCGCTCGACGCTAGAGACATCTAGCGGTGAGGTTATGAAATGCTTAGCTTTGCGGCGCAGTATGTCTCAGGCGTTTGACGCTAGAGACATCTAGCGATAGGGAAACTAAGCATCGAGTTTTGCGGCACAGCATGTGTCAGGCGTTTGACGTCGGAGACATTTAGCGGCAGATACTCGTATATGAAATACTGAGCAGTGCGGTACAGCATGCGTCAGGCGCCTACCATGAAAGCCCTCCATGTTAGGGGTATAGGCATAAGGCATGTACGTACACGACTAATAAAAATACGGCGCGTAGAGAAGGGGGAACAGTCCCGGTAATCAGCGGCGTGAGCAGATATCACACCGCACTGTTTGCCAATTAGCTGGCGACTTTATACAGACACCTGTCTATAATTAGGTAATGTGATTACCATCCACATGTTGCAGCCAGCACTTGCGGATGATTTCATAAAACGGCGTCAAATACGATTGAGGCAGTTTCCTCCCATTTTGCTGAATGTTACGTCCAAACTGTTTCATAAAGCAAAATGTGGAAGTAAACATATAATGCTATTAATTTTAATTTAGGTAGTGCATGCCGTAAAATACGGTGCCAGACAAACGAAAGCATTCAACTGGCGCATAACACGCCCCCCCCCCCTCCCCTGAGCCCAATGCCCGCTTCTAAAGGGTACACTACCAAGCTTTATGAAATCGGCCGCAGGACGCCTTTAGGGTACCCTTACCCTGCTGGGAGAGAGCGGCGATGCAGAACAGGGCCGCGTCCCGCCAGTGGGTGCCTCCGTGAGGTGCGGCCAGGTGCGGCAGGTGGCGCTGCTCCAGCCGGCAGAGCAGCGCCATGGCGGCGCCACCGAGCAGCACGCAGCCCACCAGCGCCGCCCACAGCGGCGGCGAGAACACGGCCACGTAGGTGGTCCAGCTGTACTCGAGCGTGGACGACTGGCGCACAAACACCCGGTACCTGACGGCGGGCCGGGCGGGGCGAGAGAGCCGAGTAAACAGGCAAACTCGGCATTGATCGGAAGAGAGGCTGCTGCAATGTCTGGATAAGTGATTGGTTCATCCACGCTACGGAATTAAGTGAATTTGCAGTAGCATTTGGAACGCGTTTTGCTGCTCATTGAGCTTGATAAGAAATGTATGTATATGCGCGGAGATGCAGGCCGTTGATGTGAGCGAGGTAAATGTATTTGATTAGGCTTTCGCATGCTATTTCCTGAATGCCATTTTTTAAGCCATGCCTAGTCGTGATGCCGTTTTTCCTCCCTTCATTTACAAGAGAAATGTCGCATGGGATGCTACCCACACTTCCGTGTCAGGAGTTCACACCTGAGTGTCAGCAGTCAGTACATGAGTGTCAGCAGTCCGCACCTGAGTGTCAGCAGTCCCCTGGTGAAGCTGATGACGCGCCGTCGTGGCGCGGTGGATATCAGCGTGGTGACGCCCACGTCCACCTCCTGTCGCTCCAGCATACCGATCACGCCGTTCCAGGAGCCGTTGCCCAGCTGGGAGCCCCACTGGCCGTCCACAGAGAGGCGCGTCGTGTAACTGCCCACACGAGAACGGGACTCAGTCGGCTGCAAATCGACAGCGAGTGCGGGGCTGCCACACACAGCTGATAGTGATATCTACCAGTAAAACGCCTTTTGGGCGAAGAACGAGCGAGCGAGATAGTGAGCCCTGCACGTGCGGAAGGGCGAGAGGATGCTTCCAACGGGCTTGCGCAAGGCACCCTTCTAACCGGTCGCTAGCGGTGTGCCAAATTTGAACGCAATCGGCCCAGCCGTTTCTGAGATCTGGAAGCGGCATTCTGCACGTGCGCACGTGCAAACGGGGTCCAATTTGACTTTTGCACGGCACCCTACTAACTGGTCCCCAACCGTGTACCAAATTTGAGCGCAATCGGCCCAGCCGTTCTCGAGATCTGGAAACGCCCCCTGCACGTGCGCACGTGCAGTAGCACTCTAACCGCAACACATGGAAATGCATTGCCTGGTGGGTGCCTACCTGTATGCCAAGTTTCAGCGAAATCGCCCCAGTAATTACCGAGTTACTGAAATGGGAACAAATTTGGCACCTCTTATTGTTGTATTTTGCACGTGCAGTGGGGGTGCCTCACATAGATCGAGAGTATCTGACCTTTGGTAGAAGGGATGCTGTTACCCTACAAAAATTACCGCAAGTCAATCGCCCAAGCGGATGCTGAGATATGAGCCTCTCAAAATCACTACTTTTGCAAAACAGCTTGAACACCCTTGACTTTTCACGTGGCACGTGCCACGACGGTCACTGAGATGTATCAAAAGTAGTCAATTACGGGGTAGAAGGGATGGGGCTACCCAACAAAAAAGACCGCAGGCCAATCGGTCCAGCGGTTGCTGAGATATAAGCCTCTCAAAAGCGTTACAGGCCGGGCCGGGCCGGGCCGGGCCGGGCCGCTCATACTGAGATTTTTCCGTTATATTGAAAAGACTCACTTCGCTCGCTGCGCTCGCTCGCTCGTAACAATCAGTGTAGCTTGGTGTGCGATAGTTTATCGGCTTACTTTAGCCATGGATGATATAATAATGGATTGGTGTCTTCGCAGTTTTTGGCGACATTGAGCTCAGGCCTGCCATCTAGCGGGAGAATTATCGTAAGTTAGGAGCAAGCCGAGTGAACGCCGCTGATTAGCATTGTGACACACGGGAGTGTGGTGTAGTAGCAGGCTTGTTGTGCAATTTTTCAAAAGGTTTTATCTTTATATGTCAGTAAAAGCGAAGAAATTAATAGATTTATGTGCAGGATCAGTAATAAGATGAACAGTTCCATTATTTCTCTATTAAATCGTGAAACAGGGAGTTATTGGAGACTTCGCCAGCACGTGTCGTTTTCGCTATTTTTCACATGAGTCTTTACTTGGCCTAAATCAAACAAATTGTCTGATCAAAGAACAAAACGAACGTAAGTACTATCTATAAGTCTAATGAAAAAGTTAAACGGAATTGCTAACGTCAATGCCGCTCAATATGTCATTCAAGACGGTCTATGAAAAGGACCCAACCAGTGCTGCGTAGTCGATGAAATTTCAGTGACTTTGGCTCCAACTCCGATTCCGGTATCCAAATATCGACTCCGACTCCTCCGGGCAGAACTGTCGATTCACACAGACTCCGACTCTGACTCCGACTCTGCAGCCCTGGTAAGTCTGTGGAGTCGATGACTTTTCGGTGACGTTCGACTCATATACTCCGGCTACAGCTTTTAAAAATCAACCGTCTCCGAGTCGGAACAGAACCGCTGGCTCTGACCACAACTCCGCAGCCCTGGCCCAAGATAGCCGCCTAAAACAACTTTGGTGTGTGATCTTCTTCGTACATTGTTAATGTTATTTTAAACAAGGAGTGGAAAAGGGAGCTCTAGACGAAGCCTTCACAAACAAGGATCTCCTGTTGCGGATCAATCAGCTGCTGGAACAGAAAGGCATAAAAACCACGCATTCATCGTTTTCTTACCGACTCTGCACCAATGTAAGCACTGATCAATGCAGTGCGAGCATCGATGTGACATTTGTGTACCAAGTTTGAGTGTTATCCGCCCAGCCGTTCTTGAGATATGGAAGCGGCACCCCGCACGTGCGCACGTGCAGTAACACCCCCATAGTGACACATGGAAATGCATTGGCCACTGGGTGCCTAACTATTGACGAAGTTATACTGTAATGGGCCCAGCCATTGCGGAGTTACTTTATGAGGAACAATTTCGACACCCCTAAGTTGGCACGTGGCACGTGCCGTAACATTAGCTAAGACGAAGAAAATCGGGCGAAATTCGGATAAGAAGGAATAAGCCTACCAAATATGTATGACATATTGTGAAACTGCCGTACCATTGTGAGTAAATGACCATAGAAAAGGTCGTACAAGCCGATGGGACTGGGCGTTTCAATACACACCGTCTTACGCATTTTATTTTCGACGTTTTTGGCTTTCAAGCATTTAAGACATTTTTTGTCGTCTCAGGTCCAGTAAGATTACCTCCAACTCGTCGGAATATGCACTTCAAGCCAACTAACACACCACACCCACGTGTGTCATAATGCTGAGAGATGGCGTTCACTCGGCTTGCTCCTAACTTACGATAATTCTCTCGCTAGATGGCAGGCCTGATCCCAATGTCGCGGATCCCAATGTTAATTTCCACGAGACACCAATCCAGTGTTATATCATCCATGCTTTAGCGCTTAAAATTCACCCAAACATAAATTGATTTTTCACATATAAGCACGTTGGTACTACTGAATTACATGACCCTATAGGAGCAATTCTGAAAATGCTAACTTCATTGTTCAAAAACGTTTCTTCAGTATAATGTACGAGCATCACAACTGACTTGAAGCGCAGAATGTCTGCTAGAATCTTCCAGGCGGTCCCGACGTAACCACCAACGTCGTCAGGAGGGCCGGGCTCGAAACTTATCAACGGCGGATCCTGCAAACCGAGGCGGCAACAATCTTTGTAACTCCTTTCCTTTAAAAAGAAAAAGGGAAACGTAACAATTGTCAAGCGCAAAACTAAAATACCCTCTTGGCATCCGCCGTTTGTAAGGTCTTTCCTAGATAAGCAAATATTAACAACTGTTTATCACAAATGAATGAGGCAAATACATAGCCCTTCGTCAATCCCAGTCTCCTTCATTTACATATTAACCATCTCAGAGCCAGAAACGATTTGCTGAAGCAGATGGTCAGGGGCTACAAGCCAGCATAACCGGCTATTTCGCTGGCGAGGAGGCCGACATTCGGCAACGGAAGGAGTCGGGGAAAGGAAAACGGCTGTAAATCCTGCCCATGCTCTCCGCTCTCCGTGCTGACTCTCTCTCTCTCTCTCTCTCTCTCTCTCTCTCTCTCCCTCTCTCTCTCTCTCCCTCTCCCTCTCCCTCTCTCTCTCTATCTCCCCTCTCCCTCCCCCACCCACCTGGTTGGTGGCCACCCGTAGTGTCAGACCGCTCCAGTCGCCGCGTCTGTCATACAGGGACTCTCCGGTCCAGTCCCAGAGACTAGCCGAGGCGCTCCATCGGCCCAGCCGCAGCCACCGGACAGGGTGACTGACACTCAGACGGTAGGTCTCCAGCAGGTCAGCGCGGTCCAGGCTTCCGTCCGAGCCCGGCCACAGCTCAACCAGCACCAGCTGGAAAGGAGCAGCAGCGGTTGAAGAGAGTGTATAGGTTTTCACTCAGGAATGGAAAGGATTGCGAGACTAGTGACACTGAGTCCTGTTCTCCCCGATACATTGACCCCAACGACTCAACCTAGTCATAATCTTACCTTCCGTGGCCGGCGAGTGCTAACTACTAGCACAGATAGTTGCTATAATTCACTTAGAGAGAAAATGATTTGGAATGTGCCTCATCACACCTTTCAGACCGTCGCCTTTCAGGTAATACGACTCCAACGTTACCTGATTGTTGATTGGAAGGTACCAATCGGCGAGGGCGGCGCGGTAGTCGGTCCCGTTGACCAGCACCAGCAACTGGAATGACTCGTCCAAGCGGTGACTCCCATTCAGCTGTGGAATTAGGTGAGTCGTGCATGTGGTGACGCGCCGAGTCAACAGTCGCCAGTGGCCACTTCTGATCATGCGCATTTCTGTTTTAGTGGGGATATTGTGAATTGTATGCGTCGAAAATAATCTAGAACCACATTTCGTTTTGAATGGGGCGGCAAAAGAAGAAGAAAAAACTTCAACGCATCTGCTAAAAGCTACTTTGTTACGTGCATCATATCGCATATGAGGTCCCTTATATCATCCTGACATTGATTAAATGTGACTCCATAGCCATCCCCAAACATTTCGCAGAGGTCATTACCATTTAGTGTTGTCAAGGCATTGCAGAATTATGACCGCATAAGCTGAGCTCTTACTGAATGACCTCTACAGTTGACCGCATTATGACCGCATATGGTCATAATGCGACAAACGGGGTGCTCCCACAAACCACCCACGGAGCGCCACTGACCCTGACGATAAAGTCCAGGCTGGTGTCTGTGTCGGCGGCCAGCAGCACCATTGTCTGCCCCTGGTGGGAGGTCACGGTGCGGTCCAGTCGCTCCAGCGGTGCGGAGGTGCTCAGCACAGTCTGGTACACCCCCATCCGCCGCAGCTCTGACGACCAGGTCGAACAGGAGGGCCACAAGGCATCGGCTGCAACACGGGAGTCTTCAGCATGCAGCAGTATCGTGACCCCCGAAACATTAATCAGCGGCCGGACACGGGCACTCAGTACTCACGTCCGGTAAAGGTGCAGACAACAGGCACGCAGACTCGGCAGCTGCCCAGGTTCCCAGTATCGTGCATGGAAACACAACTCATCGTGTTTGCGCCACTCACATTTCTTTATAGCATTTGCTGCTGCGATGGAAAGCCCATTGAGGCCAGCTGTATTTGTTCGGTGAAGATGGACGACCACGCAACACTCAATGCTACCATAAGATCGCCTTTGTTTCCGTCAGGCCGATGTGTCATGCATTGTTTTTTTACGAGTTTATACGACAGTTTAGCAACAATGTCACAAAAATAGGTATGCACATTGTACTTACGAGCCAGGCCACGTCCTAAACGTACCACAGGATGTAAGTATAAGGGACACGCGACTGTTTAAGCGTATGTCCACATACGTTTAACAGCGCATGTTGCGTATGGCAAAGCGTATTGCAACAACGTGGGCAATATTCAGAGATCTACTAGTCGTTTCATGGCTTATTTAGACTGCACGGGCCCAAGAAGTGTTTCACGGTCCTATGACAAACATCTGCAATTGGCCGTAGACGCTCAATATATGAAGAGGCGCGAAATGAAGAACCTTCCCTCCAAATGTGTTATGTTGAAGTTATTCCAAATGACCTTCCTCCAAAGTTAACCTTCCCTCCAAATGAATTTGACGTCTTCAGAAACATTAATCAGAGATCTACTAGTCGTTTCATGGCTTATTTAGACTGCACGGGCCCAAGAAGTGTTTCACGGTCCTATGACAAACATCTGCAATTGGCCGTAGACGCTCAATATATGAAGAGGCGCGAAATGAAGAACCTTCCCTCCAAATGTGTTATGTTGAAGTTATTCCAAATGACCTTCCTCCAAAGTTAACCTTCCCTCCAAATGAATTTGACGTCTTCAGAAACAAGGTATTGAACATATAATATTATTATATTATATTATATTATATTATTATATTATACTATTATAGCCCACAATGACATCAAATGGTTGATTGTTGCAAAACTTATGCAAGCAGCTAAATTTCAAAGTCACAAACGTAACCTCAACACCGTTGCCAAAAAAAAAAGAACTTAAGATATCAAGACAAAATACAAACATGCATAGCAATTGAACCTGAGATCACTAAAAAGTAACCATTTGAAATATAACCCTCGCCGGCCGAGGGGGTGGGTGCCGCCCCCCCCCCCCCATAGTTTTTTTCCCGATAGCTCCGAACACGCTGGCGATAGAAAGCTGAAACTTAACCCGGCAGGCGGTGGGCCTCCCGGCCACCTTCCGCGCGGTGGGGGGGGGGGGCATTCCCCCCCCGTATCTCCGAAACTACTGCACGAATCCGGAAAATTCAAACGGCGTTCGATAGCCCTGTCAAGTTTGTCGAAATAAACCAAATTTTATTGACCACGGAGACACCTATGACGTCACAGGTCAGGTAAAGATAAAATGTTTCACCGTTCACGGGGTTTCTAGGGAAAGCGCTATAACACCGAGTAAAACGCATTTTGTCGAAAATCAGCGATACGGCGTCAGTTGTCTAGTACAAATGTTGCTATTAGAGGTCACTGGTCATACCAGGTCAGGTCACAGGCCAGGTCACCAAAGGTCACCAAGGGTCACCACATGAACCCAACTTGACTAAGGTTGTGTGATGCATATGTTTTATGGCCAGTTTTTCATTTCCAACTCAAGTGTTGGTTATAAGACCACCAGGTACGGTTTGGGTCACTTTCTGGTGGAGGTCAGGTCAAGGTCAGGTAAAAAAGGTCAAATTTCAAAGTTGATATTTTTGCATAAAAATAAATGGGTATTGATTCGATGCAGCTCGTCACGGGGAGTCTAATGGTGATCTTTGTTTTGCGCTACGAGGTCTAGAATTGCTAAAAAAAATGAGCTTGAAAATTTGACGTCATTAACCCTCGCCCGCACATGGGGGGGGGGGGGGGGTGGTTGCCACCCCCCCAGGCAGTCTTTCTGCTCTGCACTCAACATTTTTAGAGCTAGAAGGCTGATTTTTCGTATAGCTGCTCGTCTATCCTTTCTTGATGTCCACTGAAAATTTCAAGTTTCTGTGATTTTTGGTTTCGGAGATATGACCTTGTTTTCAGGTCATGTCATGACCCAAATGGCCAATTCTCAACATCTTGCGTTTGCCATGGGCCTTGTGAGCTTTTGACACCCTGATTTCGGCCTTTTTTGCCAGTCTTACCTCCCACCTATCATGGAACATGTTGTTCGACGATGTACAGGGGTCAAGGTCAGGGTCAAGGTCAACCTAGGTCATCTAAGATAATTGTGTTTTAGGCAAGCTGAATTTACTTTTTGTGAAGTTTTTTGACTGCATTTTTGGTAAAAGCTTCTCAGATCATGATTTCATGTGATATGGACCCAAAAACAATCGGTGCACACATCAGTATACACACAGACACACGGGGCGTTCCACGACAAATCGACAAATAAAAAATTAAATTTGCACCCTCATATTTTATTCTTCGTTGAAAACTGGTGTAAGGGGTTGTGATGGGCGGGGAAGCCAGCTGTGGCAAGGATTTTTTTCTTTGAACAACGGTTTCCGAGATATAGCCTTGGGCAATTCCTGGAGTTCGCGCTGCAGCCCTATGTTTGGCGGCCTATAACTCAGAAACTATTGGTTTTTTTAGGATAAAACTTTATATGGTTCAACACACAATCAACCAACAAACATTTTGGCTATCTCGGATTTTCAATTTTTGAAAATTTTGATCGCGTGACCTTTTGTCCTATTTTTCGAAGAGTGACCTTGATATTTTCCCCACTGAAAGTTGCAATTTTGTCTGATGACGATTAAAGCCTTATCAAGTGTCATTCATATGCGATAATAAAAAGAGTGGTTATCGGCCTGCGTTGACCTCAGGTCAGGTCATTTTTATGACCTGTCCATTATTACGAGCGGGAGCGACAGCGAGATCTCGAGAATAAAGCAAGATAGCGACAAGCGGTTAACGGTAAAGGGTACACACGGATAAGGTCTATAATTTTTACTGAGGTCATTTTCAGGTCAGGTCAAAGATGACGTCACAGGAGCTAAAAGGAAGTCAAAATAGCGGCACTATACATATATATGAAGTTTTTCTCGAATAACTTTCAAGGTATCCTAGCTAGAAACAAACTAATAGCACCATCGTGATCCTCTCGTCGATCCGCATCGAAACATATGTATTTTGACCTCGAAAGGTCGAAAGGTCAAAAGTTGACCTTGGTCACGTGATCTAAGGTCAACTTTTGACCTTTCGAGGTCAACATACATAAGTTTCGATGCGGATCGACGAGAGGATCACGATGGTGCTATTAGTTTGTTCCTGGGTGGGATACCTTGAAAGTTATTCGAGAAAAACTTCATATATATGTATAGTGCCGCTATTTTGACTTCCTTTTAGCTCCTGTGACGTCATCTTTGACCTGACCTGAAAATGACCTCAGTAAAAATTATAGACCTTATCCGTGTGTATCCCTTTACCGTTTACCGCTTGTCGCTATCTTGCTTTATTCTCGAGATCTCGCTGTCGCTACCGCTCGTAATAATGGACAGGTCATAAAAATGACCTGACCTGAGGTCAACGCAGGGCGATAACCACTCTTTTTATTATCGCATATGAATGACACTTGATAAGGCTTTAATCGTCATCAGACCAAATTGCAACTTTCAGTGGGGAAAATATCAAGGTCACTCTTCGAAAAATAGGACAAAAGGTCACGTGATCAAAATTTTCAAAAATTGAAAATCCGGGATAGCCAAAATATTTGTGGGTTGATTGTGAGTTGAACCATAATAAGTTTTTATCGTAAAAAACCAATAGTTTCTGAGTTATAGGCCGCCAAACATAAGGCTGCAGCGCGAACTCCAGGAATTGCCCGAGGCTATATCTCGGAAACCGTTGTTCGAAGAAAAAAATCCTTGCCACAGCTGGCTTCCCCGCCCATCACAACCCATTAGACCAATTTTAAGCAAAAAATAAAATATGAGGGTGCAGGGCACTTGTCGATTTGTCGTGGAACGCCCCACACACAGACATACAAACACATATAATTGACCTTGACCTAACTTGACCTGAAATGACCTCAGCAGCAAAATTCTGGTCGGATAGTGTGACAAAGAGGTTCTAGCTGGCTTGGCACCAGAAAACAGCAACGTCATCTGTATTTGATAAGCAGCGCACTTGATATCCAACGGTGACCCAAAACAGCAACATTTTTTAGTTTGACCTGACCTGGAAGGTCAATGACTGACCTGAGAAGGTAAAACTGGGTATCATTGGATTCGTCTCTTCCCAAAGAATCTTTTTGGTCTTTACTGCTAAGCTCTATCTCCAACAGGAACGAAATGGCGCGGGGGGTGGCAACCCCCCCCCCCCATGTGCGTTCTAGGATGGGAAAATGGCATGTGCGGGCGAGGGTTAATTTTGAACAGTTTTTTCGCTATAACCTGGCCTAAAAAGAGGTATCGATCTCAAATTTGGTATGTAGATAGAGGGCGGTAGGGACTATCACATATCTTCCGGATTTTTTTTCGAAATTCAAAAATCTTTTTGGATTTTTCGGCTATTATGTTCAAAAATCTATTTTTTATTTTTGGGGGTCAAAATCAATAAAATTTCAAAAATCCGAGATAGCAGTTTTGTAGCCCTCTAAATTCTACACCTTTTAGGTATGTCTCAAACATTTTTCTGTATCTCTAAAGTTGTAGGCCTGACAGCTCTTCTCGCGAAACCTTTTTTTGGTCGAAAATGGCAGAAATGACGTCACTCTTACGTCATTAGCGTCCAACCTATCAAAGCCTTTGGAAAAAAATTTTGGTCACAATGTGCAATAGCTATTCACGGGAGGGTACCCAGTACTAAAAGTTTGGTGACGATCGGCTCAGCGGTTCTCGAGATATCGAAAAAACTAAAGGGGGGGGCAAAAAAATGCCCCCCCCCCCCACCGCCTGGAAGGTTAATATACCTGACCTTTAATTCAAGCCGAATCTTCTAACACCAACCGCATTTTCGAGTCAGGTCAGGTCACTGACCTATGACGTCATAAGTGAACCTCTGCACGGTCTTCAGATGTCGCAACTTCGCAACGCCCTCACTGTCAGAGGAGCTTTCACAAGGAAATGAAACCTGCAGGACCTATTATCCATTAGGAGTCTCACAACTAGCATATCTCGGATTTTTCTTAAAGGTCATATGAGGTGAGGTCATTTTTGTGACCTCACCCTTATAAGTCATTGGGGAAAAATGAAAACTGCTATTCTGGCGCCGGAAACGATCTCCAAATATTTTAAGCACACAGAATCATGATTTCATGCACTCCTTGCAAGATTCGATGCGTCACTTTTGCAATGTTGACCTTGTTTGACGTCATTCATGACGTCATTAGGGCCGTATTAGTTCTTCGTTAATAACTCCCGATCAAATTGAGCTACCGAGTCGGAAAAGCCACCAATCGACTCAGAGAGACCTGCCGAATCGAATCATATGCAACATGACCTCCTTCGATCAATTTCGCGACCTGGAGGCGCTGACCTGACCGTGACACGAGGTCAACACAATAAGTTGACCTCACCAAAGCAAAAAGTAGGTATATCATTCCACGCGCCTGAGCGAGGTGAACACGATACTGCCAAAATCGTGGCTCTGCGACCATTTTTGCGAAGTTATTCACCAAAAACGGAACCGTACATACCCTGGGGCACTTGACCTGACCTCAGAGGTCACCGGCTGACCTAGGCCTTAAAATCGGGTATCAATCTCTGCGTCTCGTAACGGCGCACACGCTCATTATCTTTTTTCGCGACGCGCTGGCTCCACCACGGGCGAAACGGTGAGGGGGTCGTACCCGCCCACTCCCCCTCGGCCGACGCGTACGTAGAAAACCAATAGGTCCGGCGAGGGTTAATATCTGAATGGAATATTGAAAATAAAATGTGTTCACTACTACTCGACCCTGAGTTAGCTTATAAATGGACGTGGTGACTGGTGACAATACTTTTAGCTACGTTAGAAATGTTTCCGGACAAACATTCGTTTGTTGAACTGTTTTCCGTGACTTCTAGCTAGTGCTACGTAGCTAGACGAGAAGCTAAAAGAGCCCCCGCTTCGGGCCCTGGTGATCGGGATTGCTCCCGTGCTCAACTGGGCTAGCGGTAAATTAAAACTTTAGAAAGGTTATTGAGCATTAGTGGTGACTGAAGACTCTTGGGTGGGCGGTCAGTGGTGGACAGTGGTGACTGGTAAATGGTGACTCACTGGCGTGACCGGCGGGTGGAGACTGGTGACTCACCGGCTGGTGATGAACGGTTGCGACTGGTGACTCACCGACTGGTGATCGGTCGTGCACCAGCACCAGGTGAGACGCGTCCTGGGCGCTCAGAAGGTCCCACACCAGTCGCCGCACGCCGCCGCTCCAGGCGGAGCCGCACGCCGCTGCTCCGGTCAGCAGAGAGCAGAGCAGGAGCGGCTGACAGAGCCACACAGCGGCCCTCATACCGCCCAGCTCAGACCGGGTACCGCCGGCAGCAATCAGTCGTCACTTATTGTGGTGAATCGGCAGCAGTGTCCAGAAAGGGAGCTGGAAACCGAAAAGGTTCAGTAAAAAAAATATGCTTTTAGCGCAACAAATATGCAACTTAATGCTAAAAAATCATGTTTACACTAGCAAAGGCCCAAAGCAATGCTGACGTGGTGCTAGATGCATGACGGGTTTACTGTTCAGGTAAGTACTCGAGGGCAGCGCTTTTCGAGGAGCGCTGTGGCCCGAAGGTTTGGACTTTGAATTGTGAAAAACGCCCGCCCGCCGGAAAACGCAAACACCGCAAAACGCGCAAAACGCACGCCCGAAACGCCAACGCAAACGTCGCAAAAAATAAACAAACGCCCGCCCGCCGCAAACCGCAAATAAAAAAACGCAAAAACGCCGCAAAACAATAAAACCGCCCGCCAACCGCAAACAAATTCAACACCGCAAACGACGCAAAAAAAAAGAAGAAAACCGCCCGCATCGCCCGCCCGCCCGCCCGCCCGCCGCCAAAGACAAACACCGCAAAAAACACAAAACGCCCGCCCGCCGCAAAACGTAAACACCGCAAAACGTGTAAAACGCACGCCCGAAAAGCCAACGCAAACGGCAAAAAATCACCCGACCGCCGCAAACCACACAGAAAAAAACGCCGAAACGCCGAAAAAAATAAAACCGCCCGCACCGCACCGACGCTAACTGCTAACCGAAAACGACTAAAAGTCGCCCGCCAGCCGCCAAACGCAAACACCGCAAATAAGCGCCCGGCCGCAGCAAGATAATAATTTATCAGCGGCTGGCATACCGCTAGGCTGGTCATTTTCACAAATCAAAAAGATATCTGCAAAAATCTCCTAGATGAAAGCGCCCGATTAAAAAACGGATGGCACGTGCGTGTTCCTCGCCCCCAACTTCCTTCAGGTCAATCGTCATTTGGGTCATCTAACGCATTGACGTATCTGCAAAAATCTCCTAGATGAAAGCGCCCGAGTAAAAAACGGATGGCACGTGCGTGTTCCTCGCCCCCAACTTCCTTCAGGTCAATCGTCATTTGGGTCATCTAACGCATTGACGACCGGCTGGGTGGAATGAACATTGCGCCAAGAAACGTAAGTATATTGTCAAAAAGAATCCCCAGAGTGGTGGATCCCAAAAGTTTGAAACTACCACTTTGGCCCACTGGACGACACCTTAAACAGTTGCCGACCGGATGACACCCATTGTTTGGTCACCCACGCCATAGTATGCATCATGGGTGCGCCGAAATGACCAAAAGTCCCAATTTCCGGTGTGCAGGGTCATTTTCAACGGCACGTGGCACGTGGTTCTGGACTTTTCCGGCCACTTTGCGACATACCCATGGGTAGTGCACCGAATGGTGGTTGATCTGCATGTAAGAAAATGGGGGGTCGTTTGGATCGTTTTCGAGCAATCTGCCGTGGAACGCATTTTTTCATTTTCCCCATTGGCTTAACACGGGAATTTTTAAAGTCACGTGGCACGTGCACCAGATGGTCCGCGGAGGGGAGACCCATACCAGAACGTAGATCACCTGGCCCACTAGAAATCCTGAAAAAATCAGAATATTTGGACCAGTCGTTTTCAAGAGCATCAAGTTGTACTGATCTCAGGCAGCTTTTGCCAAATTGTCAGGGAGCTCAGATTTGTTTTTCAATAGAAAAACACAATTCTAAAGAATAGTGTTTTAACTATTGACAACAAACCTTCGGTTACCATCGCTGTACCTATTTGTGTTTCACCAATTTGCCGGTATTTCGCCTCCTCGAGTATTTTCAGTAGACATCTCCGCAATGCCTATTTCTGTTTTTCTATTTCTATTTGCCTAGCTCACCAAAAATAATTATCTGATCTGTGGTTCATATTTATATTCTTCTATAGACGATAGCCTTCGCACGTCTCACCTTTTCACTTGGATGGAGCAGCAATTCTGGATGGAGCTGGATGGAGTGCGATGGGCGCCCACTGCTCGGTGGCGGGCTGCGCTCCGAAGCCCGCCAGCCCAACTGGTCGGGTGCCGGTCGGCCGACGAGCCGACGGGCGGCTGGCCGATGACTAGGGGGGGGGGGGACGGTACGCACTAGAGATGTCAATCGGATACCGACTTTTTGGTATACCGATACCAAACCGATACCAACTCGGTATTTAGTATTTCAATCCTAATGTGTTTGGTATTTTGTTGGTATCATGAACCCTCGCTAATGTTTAAGAGGCTAAGGAATCGGTAAAATGTTGGTATTTTCCTCATGTTCCCAAGTTGGTTTGGTTTCGGCATTTCTCCACGGTTTTGGTTGGTAATTGGTTTGGTATCGGTATTCCGATTTTCCATAATTGACATCACTAGTACGCACTACGCAGCCGGGCAAACGGCCGCTCCCAGGGCACCCTCCAGGCGTGGGACTGGCCTTCTCTTCTTTGGAAAGTCTCCAGCGGCGTCGCATAGTGCTTTTCTATAGGCAAATGGTCCGAAAATGTCACATCAGGAAATTTTGACATTGCCTACTTTCAGAGTCCTTTGATCTGAACGCGAAGAATGGCCAGAGTACTTACTACTTACGTCCTCAGTAGTCTTACAGACTTCGGAGCACTGTTTGCCGCTGGACGACATGCGTGGGGGCCGGGTCAGGGAGTGGATGCCGAATTAGGTCCCCGTGCAATGTTCCAGCACACGCTCACGCCTCGAGTTGTTACGATGTTGCACCGTCACGGCACTGGAAGAGGGGGACTAAATTCCGTGCTGCGAACTGATTCAAATGTCTGCGACCACTCCCGCGGCTCCTCGGCTCTGCTACAGATGCCTCGCTGGCACAAAATGACCTACATGCAGATATTGGAAATTGATCGATTTGAAGATCCACGACTAACACCATAAGTACTTACCTACCTACTTCCCAATGTTCAGGCACCGCATTTTTTTTTTTAGTATGTGCTTACAAATACTACTCAGACGCAGCTCCTTCATCTCCATCGCATCACTTTGTCGCTTTGCACACGTCGTTTTATGTGTCGGAAAGTCTCAGACCTTGTGTTTGTACACAAGACTGATTGCAGCGCGCCGCTCCTCGCAGTGAATGCCGAATTAGGGCCCCCCATTCAATGTTCCTGGGTGCCTCTAAGTGGTATTATTGTAACTTGCATGAGCTGCTCATCGGACGTTTACCGTTTTCGTTTATGAGGGCCATAAATCAATATTGCCATGGATCCTCGTCGTAGAGTAGATAGGCCTTGTGTTTTCAAGGCATCCAGACACCTATGTAGGTATACATCAATTTTATTCTTCGCGCCGGACCTATCGAATTTCGAGAAGGAGGGTGTGGAAATCTCTTGCCGTGTCACCCTATCGAGCAGGAGGCTCGCGGAAAGAAAACATGTGTATACGCTTGTTAGCGACACATATATGTACCGTTATGAGCCGGGCGATTGCTTTGCGAATTTAAGATCTAAGGTCAGCTGGTAAATTCTGAGCTCAGGTCAAGTTGTTATTTAGTAGGTGTTCGGTTTTGGTAGATATTCTTACCACAAAAGGTGGCAGAGCCGCTTTTTTGGCCGAAACAGAGCCCCGCAGAGACCATCGTGTACTTCACGTCCTGGCGCGTCGAATGCTAAATTTTTAGCTTGGGTGAGGTCAAGTTAGAGTGCTGACCTCGGGTCAAAGTCAGGTCAAAGTCACTCAGGCCACAAAATTGGTCGAAAGCGATTATGTTGCGTATAAAATGGGGAGGCCATGTGAATGTCCTCCTGGCCTATTCCGGATACACCACTTCCTCCAACATTTTGGTTTCGGGGGACGATTCCCCTCCGACCTCCGACCCCGCAGTGGCAAATTCCATGGGAATGGCGCGTGTGATTGTGGGCATTCGTCAGTAGACTCAAGTTGATATAGCGAAAGAGAAAATACCTGTCGACATGGACGTCTAAAAGAAAACTGAAATCCGTGGCGTCCAAAACAGTAAAAAGACCCCAAAAGCACAGCTAAGATAAAACCACCGACAACATATTTCGCGTTACGATCAGTATTTCTTTCTTTGGATAATTTATGCACCTTCCCTCTGTCTTCGATGTTAGAAAGCCGAGTTGATTCCCCCTACCTAGAGCGGATTATGGGGGGGGGGGGAAGAAACAGTAGGTCCCCCAACATTTTAGTTGGATGGGAGGGGGACATGTTGGCACTTGGCAGATTCCTTGCTGACTTCTGTTTGTGCGATGCTAAATGCCTAAGATCATTCTAACGATGGACGTTTTATGTGCTAAAACATACAGACATTACGATATGGTGTACAGATATTATTTATATATACACATGCTTCCCGCGGGGCTAGCTTTTTGATCATTCTTTATTGATCGCCCATATCACCGCAACCGATCAATAAGAAGCCTCCGACACATAGTGATAGCTTGAACGATGAGAAGCTGAGGACCAAGGTCCAGGAGCTCCAGTGCTGCAGCTCCCATACCGGTGTCTGCCGGTGCGGTGCTGCCGTGTGTACAAGAAGCGGGCAGCGCCTGGCGATGGCCGTCACCAGAGTCGCCGGATGGCCGCTCCTCCGGTAATCGTCCCGGGGACATCCGGAGCGGCCCAGGTACACCCGGTGTAGGTGTTACGGCGGCGGCAAGGGTGTCGCGTGTTTCAGATCCGAGTGACAAGGAGGCATCACAACAAGTCTTTGTGAAGGTGGAGGAGCGTGTTACTGATCTGAAAAGCATATCATCACACAAAGAGCATGCACGCACATTTGCTATAAGCCAAATGCGTCGCATCATGCTACCTTTGAAAGCAATGTTCACACGGGGACGGTCTTCATGTCCTTTGCTGGGCTGCACTCTGGTGGCGACGTTGGCAGGTGAAAGTGTGCCACGTACGCCGACAGGAGGCACCAAGCCAAGAAGAAAATGAAGCAGGCAACACCAACTTGGGCGTAGACGACGGGAAACAGGAGGCCGATGAAACAGTTGGACACCCAGATCGC